AAAGAAGCTCTGAAAAGGGAAAGTAAATGTAAGAAAAAAACTGGTAGGGAAGGATTTGCCATAAAAAAAATATGAAAAATAAAGACACAAGAAATGAAAAAAAATGAACTCAATTGACATGACGTATATCTGTCTTCGTTGTGACAGCTATTTCATCAGATTTTCATATGAGAATTCAACTATCTGTTGGCAAAGCATAGTTTTTTTCTTCTTGTTTAATATCAAAAAAGAATTTTCAGTATTGTTGTTGTTTTTTTTTTTTGTTTCTGCAAGCATTTAACAGAGATATTTATATATTTATTTGAAAAAAATTCTGGTTGCAGCCGGATATATAAACACATTCAGTGTTCCCATATGTTTTATAAACATATGTAAATACTACAGAGTACTGATGTAGACATGTTTAATGTAATTAGAGGCATAAGTATTGATAAAAGTTACAAAAATAGAATGAGAAATTGTTGTTTTTTTTTTTGCACGATTGTTGACCAAAGATTGAGGAGACCGCCTATATCTGCTGCCCGTCACATGATGTCTCATTGATCTTATGACGATTTCGTTTGGTTACATCTCTGTTTTAAGGTACTGAAATAGAAACAATAAAAAAAAAAAGTTTACCTAAAATTTACTTTATTTGTTTTTTTTTTTTTCAACAGATGCAGTAGAAAATTGCCTTCAACTTAAACATAACTGACTTTTTCAGTCTGCAAAAAAAAAGGCTGTTAAGTCCTTATCGCTAGGCTTTATAAGTTTATTGCTTTTTTCACAAATTTTTATTGGATAATATTTAATTGTTTTACCTTTACTTGAAGTACATATGACTTATATTTTTTTAAATTTTTCAATGTTTATGCGAATATGTTGAACTGAGCTGTCGCCAAACTTATTGACTGAATAGATCAAACTGGTCAGTTTTGGTCAATAGTCTAATCTTGTTACTGACCATATATAGTTTCCAACACAACACTTTTTCTGTTCTTTCAGTAAAGAAATTAACTGTGAAGATTTTGCTAGCATTTTTTGGCGACATCAGTGATCATAAAATTATGGCAACTAACATACGTGTCTGTTTGCATATCGACCTCAAACGCTTGTAACAGCCCTGCTTTGACCACTTGCCATAAAAGTCTGGCTCATTAGCATCAGCACAGACAGTATCTTTACTTCCACTTGTAACCTGACCATTCCAGTTCATGTAATCCATGGCGGTACCATCTATCCAATTCCACTTCGTGCTATACTTTAAACCTAACCAGTACTGTTTGCCTTGGCTGAGCTCTGCAATACACAATTAATTAATGAAAATGTAATTTATACTGTCGTTCGTTTATGCAACTGGCGACCAAAGGTTTTTCAATAAAAGATTCTTTGAGGTTTGAAAACCAAACTGCGTAACTACATCTTGAATTCTAACCTCTGAAACTTGGACTCTTGGTCTCTGAATATAACAATCGAGTTTAGAATAACAAACGCCGAATATAATGCATTAACTTCTCAAAACCTTTGAAAAAAAGTTTTCTCATTTTTAGATTAAGTAGAATATTTACTGTTTAGGAATGCATTCTCTTCTGCTGAGTGAACAGACACTAAATTGGCTTTCCAAGCAGAGCAGAAGGCTTGAGCCGCATTTTCGCTAATTCGAACATCATTCTGTAAAACGTTTATTATCTTGAAAGTCGAGACAAAAAAGTGGAATAAGATCCTTACTTCCTTTTTGATAAGAAAAATGTTAACTATGTATCACTTAAAAGCCATTTAAAAGTAAACCTACAAAATAGTAGCAGGAATTGCCAAACTTTGTCCAGGACGGTTCGCATTCTGTAAAGAAATTATTAAGAATTCAGTATCAGATTGGAGACTACTTTAGTTTTATTGAATTATTTAGATAATATTTTAGCTGCTGAGTTGACTCTAAAAAGCAAAAAAATAATACGAATTTTCTTTATCAGACTATTTTATCATTTCAGCAAAACTAAAAAGAATATCCTTACCTGTTACTGCTGCTTTTTCGGGTTTAGCAACGGCTTTTACTACCTGAAAGTGTTGATAACTCAAGCGTTTTTGCTCAAAACGGCATATACTTCTTCTATTCACAGTGAAAAAAATTTTTTAAATCAATGTCTATTTTTACTTAAACTTTTCAAGCTGATTAACAAATAAAACCATAAAAGCTTGCTTACTTCTGCTGGTCTTTGCTGACAGAAAAAGCATTTCCTGTCATCTGCAACCGTTGTGCTTCTCCACTTATGTGATCGACTATCTTGTGGCAGATAAGTAACACGTTTTTGAATATCACCAGTTGGATATCCTGAATCAGCAACCTACCACTTTTTTATAACACTTGAAGTAAAACTTGGTTCTTGTTTTGATTCTTTTCTGTAACTGTTGTCTTAATGGCACGTATATTACTAAATTTAAGAGTCGAACAAGGAATTCGGCAGGAAAATATCTATCACTGAGCGGTCGCTATTCCTTACGGTGCACAAAGTAACACAGTTTTATGGGTACTCTAGCCCATTTTTCTCGTTCTTTTTTTTTCTGGCTGTTAAGTAGTGTTAAGGAAAAAACGCTCCACCTGAATCCCACATCTGAAATCCAAGATAGGAGCCGTCTGTCCACATTTGCACGCCCTCCCTTTCGTTGTAATGTAATCCGATCCAAAAATCGCAGCTTTTGTCTAATTCATTCGCAATTTCTACAGTGGTTTGTATGATTATATAGATGACAAAAGTATGTTTACTGTAGACTGTTCTACCAACAATATATCAAAAATTAAGCTTGACCATGACAAAATATTTTTTTTTTCACTTTTAATGCTTTAGTTGTGCTGGTTGATTGAACAGTTTTAATGCAATTTAAAAGCAATAATAGTTAAATTTGCTAAACCTATTAGCATTTTTAAAAAAGAATACTTGCCGAATAAATGAGTATTTTGGGGAGCATTATGGACAGAGACCAAACTGCCAGCATTGGTAGCAAAATTCTCACGACAGTAAGTGTCTGCTTCAGCAAAAGTCTTCCGCTCAGCAAACCCCTTATAACACTTAAGTGAACCGGGCAGGTTTGTCCATCCGGTTGGACATTTAGCAGTCACAAAAGCCAATTGAATAGCAGCTAATAAAACTATTCGAAACATTCTAAATACTGTATTTATTTGAAATTTGTACGATTGGCTAATTACGTCTTTACCATTTGACCACAGTTGTACAAATCGTTGCTTAAACTGAACGTAATATTTATCTACAGATTGTTTCAAACTGCAGTGCTCCTCTGTGTTATAGAATAACATTGAAAAAAATCTATGCCATTATATATTGTGTAACAATCAAAAATTTTTTTGTGAGGAATAATGAGAAATAATTGTTTTATTAGATAGCAAAATTAAGTATTTTTAATACTTCTAAAAATATACATTTCTTATTTAATTTTCAAATTTGTGAATAGTTTAAAGTAAACACAAAAAGTTGAATTTTATTGTATAAAAATTTTCTGCATGCACTTTCATTCTATAACTTCTCAGTTACTTTACTGTATTCTTAACTTATTTCTGGATACAAGCTGTTGATTTAAAAATATTGAAAAATTGATATACATCTTCAATATTATATTAGTTTTACTGTAATAAAAAATGTTTTTATAATGAATTATTTACTCAAATTGTTACACCTACAATTGCTTTGAATAATAATTTTAAAACAGTTATCATTTCTGGCTTTTCCAAATTTTGTGTTGCTTTCCTGTTCGGCCAAAGATAATTTTTCAGTGATTCAAAAAACATTTACAAGTCGTATTATATAGCAACAGAACAAGCTACGTAAAAAATAGAAATACATTCTAATTCTGATTTCCGGGATTGCCACAGAAAGTCACATTATTAGACCAGTTTTTAGCAGCATCTGTTTGCAAGACAAGAATCTCAAAGCATTTGTTATGATAACAATAATAAAGTTACCTATCAGTTGTAAGCTAATCTGATAGCATCTAATACTTGATGCAGCAAGAAAAGCTTTAAAATTTTAGATAAATATTATGTTACATCTAAACAGTTACACCGGTTGCAGCAGACTTTCTACACTTTTTTAGGGATTAAACAACGAATTTAGGAGATACTGTAACAGCTTATAAAGACAGCCAAAAAGAGAGAAGAAGCTGGATATTAGGTGAAAGAAGTGAGAAGAAGACAAAGAAGACGATGAAGATTATCTTGACATTGGTTGACATCGGGGAGAAGCCAGCTTCTAAGTAAGTCATCAGTGGCAATAATGATACAGTGACAAAACGGGGTTCCCTGACTTGTCATTATAAGCACGTGGTTATCAAACAAATAACGTTGAATAGATCTTTGATTTTAAAAAGTTTCTTTTGGTTTTTAATTTTTTGTCAGTAAACATTTAAGCAGAAAAATCTTATCAAACAAAGCATTACAAAATCAAAAGTTCACTAATTTTTGAACAGAAAAAAAAAAAGAAGTTCTTAAATCGAACCAGGAAAAAAATGATATAAACATAATTTATGATAATTTTTACAGCAAATCCATTATGCTATTTCAAAATGCAAATTGCATCAAAAAAAGTGTATAGAAAAGCAAAAATATATATAATCTTTTATAAGGTTTCAGTGGCTCTATTATAACATTGTTAATAAAGTTAAGACCAAATAAGCTCTTAATTTGCAGTTTCAGCAATTCTTAAGCAGCAAAGAAATTTTTTATAAAAAAAAACTGAAATTTCAAAAAACTTTGGTCTAGTTTGTAATCTTGATGATAAAAGACTGTTTTTTAAGCACTGAAAGAAAAGACGAAAATGAAAAAAGAAAATTTGTTAACACTTACTTAATTTTTGTTTCATGCAACAAAATTCTTGTCTTGTTCAGCAGCAACTTAAATTTTGAATTCAAAACGTTTATTGTAATCTTTAATGCGTAAAGTATTTGGTAAAAAATAGCAAAAAATAAAAGAAAAAAAAACAATTGAACATTTTGTATCAAATATTTTAGTAAAAATAAAAATAAAAAAGAATTGAGCATAGGTAAAAGTATAAAAAATTCCTTTTTAACTGTCAAAATTCACAGTGCTTTTATGAACAAGTTGCAAGTATATTCTGAAAAAAAAACATGAAATTCTCAGTGGTTCTGATGTATTTTGTTATCGCATAATTCGTCATTTTTTAAATTTCTTAAAACTTTTCTTCAAATAGGTGTTGCTGAGTAAGAAAACAGTAGAAAAGCAATTTTTTTTTTTAAATGACAATATCAGCTTCAATAAAACTGTCAACACTTTTGTTTTTAAGGAGGTCTACGCTGTGTAATTGTTCCTTTGTTTCTTTCTTTTTTTGTAGTTTAAAAAAAATCAAGAAAAAACTTCTTTTTTTTTTCAGTTGACAGCTGTTTCTATATGCTATTAACAAGAATTACGCTGTAGTCAAAAAGACTAAACTATATGCACTTTGTAAATGTCTGTATAGATTTGCTATACGTTGAATCAGTATTTTACTCTCAAACGATGAAAATTTTTACTGACCTTTGTACTCCTATAGACAACAGCAGTCTACTAGGTATCAATCATCTTTATTTCATATTTGAACTTTTTAATATCAAACTTCGAAATGTTCTTCCACTGTTTACTGCTTAGCCAGATTGTTCTATTCAAAAGAAAAAAAATGTGAAAAAAAAATTTAAAAAATAAAACCAAAAACCAATAAACAACGCCTCAGTGTTACTATTTTAAAATGTTAACTTATAAATTGTTCTGTAGTTTGTAACAGCTTAAATAAATTTGTATTAATAACAAAGATAATTTGCTAATTACAGGTGTTTTCTAATTTCAGTTACATATTTGGTACCTAATCCAAAATATAGATACGGTGATGCACTTATTGAAGACTCTATTTTCAATTGTTATACTGATAAAGCTATTTTCAGTAAACAGATTAAAGAAACTAAACCTTTAACAATGCATTGTAATGCACACCACTCAAAATTGTACTTTAAAACCGTTGCAATCAGTGTGAACATTTGCGATGGTAGAACAAAAAAGGTCAGGAAATAGCTATAACAAAGCTTTCATTTTGTTGTTACATTCTGTCAATAAAGCAAACAATTCTTTTAACATCATTCAAAAATTACCTATTTTTAGCGACAGGTAATTAGAAACATGATTAAGCTGACTACAGTTGAAGAAATCAGCAGTCAGTCTGCTATCTTTCTTTTCCATTGCAAAAAAATATGTCTGCTTAATTGTAAACAGTTAGTACGTTGCCTTAAAAAGTTTCTTAATCATAGATTTTTTTTCCCCCCCCCCCCC